CTTAGACCCAAATTCTGAAGTCATACCCTCATAATATCCATTCTGGTTTAGCTTGGAAGCCCATATAATGAAATGTCTCTCTGTACTTAGCTCCTTTACAGTCAAAAATTTTAAAGAAAACACAATAATACACAGAATCCAGGCTCTCTGAGAATTTTCCATTTTTATGTGACTTATTTTTCTTTATTTCTTTTAATCTATAACTATCTGTATTCTGTCTCTTTAAAGACCTTACCCCTTTTTAAGGGCATTAACTTTATTCTCTCTATATTTTTTTCTCTCTCTATCAAGCTTATGTACACTCACCCAACATTGTGATCCATTTAGTGGTCTGAATCTGTCCTATTGTGAATCTGTATTTTTTTTTATTATCCAGGAGCATTTCTTAAAATCTTAAGCAGTTCTTAAAAACTTAAGTTGCACCATGTACACGTAATATGGTACTGCCTGTGTCCTGCCCAGTCTAAACCTTAACTGCGCTGTTATTATGGTAATTACGGTAGTTCCTGCCTGAGACCAGGACAGTTCAGCATGGTGGAGCTGAGCCGCTCCTGCCTTAGAGCCATTTGGTGCCCCTGAGCCACACAGAGTTCCAGGCACACAGCAGTCCACATTGCCAGCAAGCAAGCTGTAGCACTTTATTCCAAATGCTCCATTTAAAAGCTCTGTCTCCCACAGGAGCCAGACAGAGATCACAATGGTGGCACAGCCCAAAAGCCGGCATTTTAAAACAACCAGTTTTTTCCTGCTGCTGAGTCAGGACAATTTCTTTGCAGCAAGCCACCCAGAAACAGCAAAAAGCTTTGTTAAACTCTCTCTCCCTTTTTTTTAAAGCCCGCTCAGGTTTTTAAGTGGATTGAGTCCATCACGTTGGGTGCCACTCTGTTGTAATATGAGCGGAGCAGCGGGCCTTCGTCCCGCCACACAGCTAGCTTTACCCGAAATAATTACACGGAAACTGTATTCTTTTAAACACTGCTTGGCCCATTAGTTTTAACCTCTTATTGGCTAGCTCTTACATATTGATCTAACCCATTTCTAATATTCTGTGTAGCACCACAAGCTGGCTTACCAGGGAAGATCTTAACCTGCATCTGTCTGGAGTGGGAGAATCATGGCGACTCTCTGACTCAGCTTCTTTCTCCCAGCATTCTGTTCTGTTTACTCCACCCACCTAAGGGTTGGCCTATCAAATGGGCCAAGGCAGTTTCTTTATTAATTAACCAATAAAAGCAACAGATTAGAAAGAAATCACTCCCAAATCACCTAAACGGTGTTGATGAAAAGCTGAATGCATGCTTTTTGGTTTTCAACTGTAGCAGGAAAAAAGCTGTGCCATTTAAAAATGCTGGCTTTCTGGGCTGTACTGCCAGGGCAAACTCTGACTCAGGCCGGCAGTATGGCTGAGTGTGGTCTGTGAGCAGAATGCTGTAGCTTGCTTGCTGGCAAGGACCTTGAAACGCCATAGAGTTGTGGCAATAAAAATGGCTACAGACGGTATCTCTGCCATGAGGCTGGACAGTTAAGGAATGGGCTGGATCCAATTGCCAAAGCCACAGCTTTAGTCCTACTGTTATTGCTTGGTAAATTAAAGACTCATGTGGTCAGAAAAGAGACATATACAGTAAAAGAAAGATTCAAAGTTGAAGAAAACCACTAAATGGTTTACAGTTTGTTAAAAATAATATATGTCGGCTAAAAGTTAAAGTTCTTAAGGTAAAGAAAGAAATAGAGTAGTTGGGTGTGGTAGTACACACCTTTAATCCCAACACTTGGGAGGCAGAGGGAGATTGACCTCTGTGACTTCAAGGTGTGGAAGCACACACCTTTAATCCGAATGCCTGGGAGGCAGAGAGAGAAGGATCTTTGAGAGTTCAAGGACAGCCTGGTCTACAGCGTTATTCCAGGACAAAGATATACAGAGAGCCTGTCTCAAAAAAAATAAAAGAAATAGAGGTTAAAATAAAGCTGCACAAAGATGGAAAATACACAGAAAATCTTGATACTGTATGCTATTATGCTCTCTTTGAATAGTTTGAATGCTGAGGAATGAGCAAGAGCTGCCAAAAGATATTTGTTTATAAATGCTGCTGAACTAATCCAAGATAGATATTTTGAAAATACCTTAACTTTAAAATTTGGATCTAAGGACATGATGCTTTGGAAAGGAGTTTCTTCTTTTGTTTTCACAGAGGATGAGACCCTGTGGATTGCTTCTATTCCAATATGGTATGATGGACCACATCCTCCTGAAAGGTTGCTGTGAACACCCTCAAAAAATCACTTCACTCAACTGCTGACTGAGATGAATCTAGCACACAGATTATAGCATGAAAGACCTGAATATCAGCGCCCCCATTCAGCACGAAGCAGTTTGGAGAGAAATAATTGTGCCCATATTCCCAAATATTGTTTATAAATGTTCTTTTACATTTAAAGGGGGATATGATAGAGATATGAATAATTTGCATTGGTATGAATTGGACTTTAATGATATAAATTTAAGGTCAGTCTTGTTATATGTGTATGTATTTCTGACCTTGACTAAGGTATTGTGATTGTGTACATGTAAAAATGTAATATATATATAGGTTGTTAATGTATAATCATTAATAATAGTCAAGTTTGTAGTCATGTTAGTTAGATTTTCTAGATGTGCATAGATATATTTCAGATAGGCATTCTTCATATCTTTCAAAGACTACAGATTATGGAATTTTAAATGTTTTAATAACTTAGGGTTTTTCATGACAATGAAACAAGTCTGCTCCTGGCAGCACCAATCTACTTCAAGAAGAAGATGGGCATCGAAGAGGCACCTTATGGAGTTTGATAGCCATTTGGGCAAGAAACTGCTCTTGCCTGGACTGTTGCATAAACTGGACACAAAGAACCCACAGAGAGAGGACTGCTAAACTTGTCAAAAGGTGAGATGATCTTTTGGGGTTCCTGACTCATCAAAGAGTCTGTGAGACATTCTGCAGGACACAGCAGATAGTGACTGAACTGCCTTTGAAATTTTGTGCTTCATGGAAATGTATGCTGGAAACCATGGACCTGTAGGCCAAAGATGGATGCCCCAACCATACAGAGGAACTTTGGGTGACTGTACAGGCAGCGAGATGTCTCTATCATTTCTAGAGTTTGAAAGTTGCTTATTTCTTGTTTGCTTAGGTAATATTGTATCTTTCTGGAGTATTTGATGGAGTTGAAGAATACTTAGTTATAGTTATAGTTTTCCTTAGTTATGATAAAGATAAAATAGATGTAAATATTGTAATTCTTACTTGATAACTGTTTTGTTCTTTGTAATTTTACTATGTTAACGTTAAAGCCTTCCTTTTTTGTTTAAACAGAAAAAGGGGGAATGATGTGGGATTTCATTGATTAATTTATAAAGAAACTGCTTGGCCTGATAGGTTAGAATTTAGATAGGATGAGTAAACAAAACAAAATGCTGGGAGGAAGAGGAAGTAAGGCAGATGCCATGCCTCTCCTCTCCAGGGCAGACGCAATGGAGCCAGCCGCCAGGTTTTACATGCTGAATCTTTCCCGGTAAGACACAAATTATTAGAAATGGGTTAAGCAAGATATGAGAGTTAGCCAAAAAGAGGCTAGATATAATGGGCCAGGCAATGTTTAAAAGAATACAATTTGTGTGTTGTTATTTCGGGGCATAAGCTAGCCAGGCGGCCAGGAGCCGGGCGGCAGGAATATTGACCGCCGCTCCTTCTACAAGAGTGTAAGCTGGAATGGACTCACTCCTCCAAAGTTGCTTTTGGTTATGGTGGTTTTATCATAGCACTCAAAACCCTGAGACAGACCCTGACTCCTTAATAAAACTTCTTCACATTACACTTGATAAGCATGTCATGCCTGCCCACCCCACCTCCATGTGCCCCTGTTTCTGCCATCTTGGATGAGGGCTCATAAGCATTTCTGTATCTTTCTCAGGTAGAGTTCTTTGCTACTCATGGATTCCACAACACACACAAACGTTTTCATTGTTTTATTACAAAAGATTTATTTTCATTGTAAGTATGGGGGGGGAGCGGGGACATGTGCTCATCAGTACATATGAACATAGGAGCCAGAGGTATCAGACCCCCTGGAGACAGATATATATATTCATGAGACCCAATCGCAGAGTGGGTGTTGGGAAATGAACTCTGATCCTATGGATGCACAGTAAGTACTCTTCAGTGCTGAGGTATCTGTACAGACACAATTATTTTATGTTTGGTAGTTGGTTGGTTGGGTTTTTTGTTTTGTTTTTACTTAGTCACAAAGAAATGGGTTTCAGTATGGGGTTTTCCTACATATTTTGTCTTGAAGCTCTTCCCCTGTCCTTGTTCATCCTAATTTGTGGCAATAGATAATCAAGCCAATACCAGGGAAGATCCCTATAGTGTGATACCCAATTAGTGATACCCAAATTAGAAAACCTTAATCAATGAAACACTCTATCAAAAAAAACAAAAGAAATAAATAAATCATTTTTTTACAGAACCTAAAATTAAAATCCCTTGATGGCATTTGGTTTCCACAAGCAGAACATAGATATGTGTATGTGTGCCTGTGTAGATACATATACATGAAAATGTACATATACAAACACATGACTTTAAAACATTACCAATAATTTTGTTGCAAAACTAAACTTACATAATTCACTTTTCCTTCTATCTCCTAATTTTCCTTAAATTTCTTTGTACTACTCAAGCATTTAAATTCCAGAACTTCTCCTCCACAGAAGCACACAGATGAGAAAACCTGGCAGTTTCTGTCATAGTCAAAAGTAAAATCAGATGAAAAATATTTGCTAAATTCTATTTTGTCCAGTAACATTTAAATTGCTTTTCCTTAAGCAACCGGGAAAAAAAATCCAACCGTGCGACTAATACGTGTCACACAGTATTGAAACACTGACCTTTTAAGGGCAAAATAACAATTACTCAAAACATGAAACCCCCATGACTTTTCTTTTATCTGGTAATATGTTAGGATTCACGACTTCTTCCTCGGCCTCGTTTGATAACAGCCACAAATTCCAGGCGCTGAATGTTTCTCATCACCAGGGAGAGCTGGTCAAGGAAAGTGTTGATGGAAATTCTGAAGAGGACAGGGTCTTCAGTAGTCCACCTACTAAACTTGAGAGAAACAGACACTATCAGGGAAATGATGGGGGATCTCTTCAGGTCCACCATACCACGTCTTCCCACTCACATTAAATCTACCAGTGTCTCCATTAGGACACCCCTAGAGTACACACTGCCTCCCAACCCTGAGGCCACCCCTACTCCAGGCTTTTGGAATACTGACACAGACAAGACAGTGGCATTCACTGTGAACTCCTGCTGAACCATCACTTGCTGGCGACGGGCATTGGCGACCAGGGACCTGCGGGCCATGTCTGCCTCCACTGCAGACCTGAAAGGCACTGTTACAGAGCTGGGAGGAGATAAGGTTAAGGCACCATCCACCACTTAGTTTCCCTTTGCTTAGATACACTTCCTTAGGCCTGCCTGGCAATGAGCCCTCTCGCCACCAGAGTCCAGTCACCTCCCCACTCCCCAGCGATTCGGGTCTTTTTCTACACCCTTCAGTCCGCTAAGGCAAGGAGTCTCCTTGTCCTGTCAGGATGTCAACTGGCGCACTGGACTACCCACACCACATCCGTCTGGCCTTTCCCTAGTCAGCTGTGCACCGTGTCCCCAAGGCCTTCCATGGAAGTTTTAGCGTCCCTATGATCTAGTAGCCCCTGGCGAGGGTCTCTTAGGGAAGGATACAACTCCAGGAGTCGATTTCCCGTTGTTGATGCAGTATCTCCGCTGGGTCCAGGGAGAAGTGGTGGCTGCTCATTGTGGAGAAAGACAGCTGCCTCTTCAGCAGCTGCACCTGACCCCACAGGGCTCCCTGGGCAGGGACTGCCTGGAGCAGCCTGGCTACCAGGAGCAGCTGGGCTACTGGAATCTTGTGGGCCACTCTGAGGGAAGGTGCCATAGTCACCTTCGGTTGCCGAACTTTGAGAGCTAGGCTGGGCTTCGGAACCTTGAGGACTCTGCTGCCCATCCTCGCCTTCTTCAGCCCCTGCTCTCCCATCTAGGCCCTCATCAGGGTCCTGCATGACTACTCTGGCTTTCCCCTCAGCACCCTAACCCGTGCCACTAACACAACCCTACCGCTCTCAAGGAAGTTCTTGTGCCAAGGTCAGCGGGCTTATACGTGAAGCCAACTGCACGTGTGCAAACAAGATCTCGCGAGGATTGGTTCCCGCTAAAGTAGCTTTCTGTTCAGACGGGGAGGGGCATGGCGGGTGGGGGAGGGGCGTCTCTGAGAGCTCAAAAAGTACAGCCCTCTCACACGGTACCTTCCCCAGGGACTTGTACTAATGGGATCCTCCAATAAAGGTTTCTTCCAAGCTGCCCCACCCATGAGTGGCACTGATCCCAACAAGCCTGAGGCTCCGGGAAGCTCAGCTCGGCAACAGGAGTGGGTGAGTGGTGCTGCCTGGGTATTCACAGAACCTGCTCAAGCTGACTGACCAGTGTCCTCAACACCCTGACATCTTAGGAGCCTGCTATGATGGTTCCGCACAACTGCCCCGCCCAAATGGTTCTGCCTGGACCCACAACACCTTCGTACACAACTCAGTGCTCTTCAGCTGGGCATGGCCTAGTGATACTGATTAATGTGACTAAAGAGTAAGTTCGATAACTTTTCCACAAGCAGGGTGGGCTTATAGAAACCATTGGCCACAGCAGCAGCCTCTGTTTGGAGCCCAGTATACAAGCTCACCCTTTGTCACGTGGAAGAGATGTATTTATACTCTCAGTGAAGCCATGAGTGCTTTCAGGGGTAGAGCTGCTCTTGTGTTTCGTGGGGGGCGGGGGGTAGGGGTGTCTGCCCAGTTGTGTTTCCTGCTTGGATGAATTCAGGTGGTGAGAGACTGTGGGTTCCTCTTGGGTGTAGAAAGAAGGTGAGCAACCATGCATGCTGAAGACCAAGATGCTGTTGCAGTTGGGGAGGAAGGATGAGGATTCTCTGGAGTCACAGAGTCATTGGTGGCCCTGTTGGTGATGGAGAGGTAGGAGCCACAGGCGATGTATGTACCTGACTCATAGATGCCTCATACCTGTGGCCTTAGTAAGATGTCTTGACAGACTCTGGAGGATCCAGGGCACTAGGATACAGACAGCATCCTTTGTCAGGCCTTTCTGAACATACTGGATGATGGTTTGGTCTACAGGCTGTATCAGTGCCTTGGGCACACAGCCAGAGCACTAGTAAGCAGATTTTTTCCCCTATGTATCCTATTCAGTCTAGCCAAGTAGGTTGGGGATGTTTTGTGTAGTGTGCGGCTTATTGATAGCATAGGGAGTATGTCCAGGGAAACAATGAGAAAGGAGACAGCTGGGGACTTGGTCTATTGGAGGTGAGTGGTTCCAAATTTGGAACAGAGGTCCGAGGGTAGCCTGGGCAGGGAGTGGAGGAGGTGGTGGTGGTGGAGGTGGTGGTGGACAGAGACCTCAGGGTGATACAGAAATTTGAGTTATAAAGTCAGTGTTCATGGTGCCTTAAGCATCCTTCACTAGAGTTTTCATGTTACCTTTCCCTTTACTCATGGAATCAGAGACAGCCTTCCAGTATCTGGTCCCTCAGGATCACCCCCTCCAAGGTACAGTCCAGAAAGAATCCTCAGTATATGACATTGTACTGATTATGTGATTAAAGAATAGGTTCTTGGTGGGCCATTTTGCTTGCTAGCAGAGGGAAGAGTGGTGGCAAGTGGGCACCAGCTTCTCAAAGGTGTTGCCATGGACACGACAAATACATTTCACTGTCTGGAGCTGGTCTCTGTGTGCTGTACAACTGCAAACAGCACCATGGTACGTATATCAGGCTGGCGGGCTGCTTCTCAGCCACATACTGACAAGTATGGTATATGAGAATAGATTTCAGGGGGAGAAATTTCAGCTTCACCATTGAGTCACTTCCCTGTGAATTTTCAAGAATTACATTAATTCATAAAATTTTCTTCTTTTGCTATCTAGTCTGTAAACTTGACTAGAACCCACCATTGCCTTGAATTTTTTTCCTCTTTTTCTTAACTTAATTTTTTAAAATTAATTATTTGTAAATTTCAAAAATGCACCCCGATCACATTTACCTCCCAGTCCTCTCAGGTCTACCTCCACTCTTGTGACCTCCCCCAAAACAAAAGAAGAAAAAAAAGGAAAAAAATACAAAGTCCAAGCTGTGTTACCCATATACTCACTGGAGCATGGACAAATTCTCAGTGGCCAGTCTCTTAAAAGTAACCGACTCCAGTACATGCAGTGGGGATAAATCCCAGTGCCACCGCCAGTGGCCCCACAGTCTGCCCAGCCATACAACGGTTAACCACATTCAAAGGGTCTAGTTTGGTCCTATGCTGGTTCGTTCCCTGTCTGGCTGGAGTTGGTGAGCTCCCATTAGCTCAGGTAAACTGTTTCAGTACTGGCTTTTTGGGAACCCATTCTCTTTGGATGGATACCTTGCTCAGCCTAGATATAGTAGGGAGGGTCTTCCCAAAACAGTGTGCCTTACCCCTCTCTGAGGAGTGGATGGGGGGGGTGAGTTGGGGAGATGGTGGAGGAATGGGAGGAGGGGAGGGAGTGGGAACTGGGTCTGTTATGTAAAATGGAAAAAAGATAGTTTATTTTCTTTAAAAACAAAAACAACTTCTTCCCCTATCCTACCCCTGCCGGACACCATCAACTGTGAAGAGCTGCACTTCAGCATTCTTATCACAGTTTTAAAGTTCCCATCTAGACTGTTTCTTTTCTTTGTGAGGCAGGGAGAGGTTGACATAGAAATCTTCTATGTCATTCATTCTCAACTGTGAGACTCCTGTCATCGATACCACTGCAAAAGAAGCTTCCTTAACCTTTATAGTCAGCAGCAGCAGCACAGATCATGGACTTTCATGTGGTTTCTAATTACAGCATGGACCACCGAGTCACCGAGTCTATAGTTTCACCATTCTCCTCTGTGCGTGCAGCTCTGTTCTGCCATCTTTCCTTCCAATTTCATGAATTCACTTTTCAAAAGCATCTTCCCATGGGACCTGCCTTTCTCCCCCCCCCCACCTGGGGACACTGTGGCCTTTGCAGACTCCTCCACCACCAACCACCTCATATTCCCTCAGAAACTCCATGGATCTCTCAGGCTCCTCAGAGCTGCTCCATGGCAGCAGGTGCTGACTTTGATCTCAGCCTTGCTTCGGGTTTTCATCCACGATGGTGGTGACATGGGCCTGGGTCTGGTTCTGCAGCATTGGCTCCTCCACATGCTCCAGTAGCTTGTAGATGGAGAGGATGGAGTAGATATTGGGGTGGACCAACTCGAAGCGCTGGATCTGGGCCCAGATTTTTTTAGACGGGTTCTTACCATGTGGCATTGGCTGTCTTATAAAACTTGCAATGTAGAACAGTCTGGCATCATAATCTTCCTGCCTCTGTCACCCAAGTGCTGGGATTGAACACATGATCTACCACACCTGGCTTGCTCTTTTATACCAAGTGCATAACATAAGAAGATAATGTGTTCATCATCAAGCCCATCATTACCGCCATTAAAGATATAAACTATTTGTATCTAACGCATGAGATTCTAAAAAAAAATTATTCACAAACATGTACTGGAATAGAGGCAAAAACAATTATGATGTAATTGCTGAACTTGTCATACTGTTATTTTTTTCCTTGTAGTAAAATACTGATTTCATTGAAATCGGTAGAAGTCTTTGCCTGATGTTCATCTGGATTCCTCTATGCTGTTTTGATTAGACCAACCAAACCTCCCATAGTCTCACCTGGCTGGCCAGAATCCAATAAAAATGGAGCAATCTGCTTCCTAGACCTCTGGCTGAGGTCCTGTAGCATTAATCTTGTTCTGACTCAGTCAGTGGACCAGACCATTATTCAGGATGTCCACATAGACCTGGCTAAGGATGATCTCACGATATTGGAAGAACATCCGCATAGTGGTCAAAGGTTTGATGTGTTTGTGAGCCCCAGGTTGGCCCTGTCACATGAGGGTCTTGCTTCTTGGGAACCTGAATTCCAGGGCTGCCTGGACCACCAAGGTGTCTTTGGCCTTCATCCCAGAGTGCATAAGCCCATGTGCTCAGATCCTTTCACAGGGAAATGCACATTCTGAGTGTTATCACATAGCAGGAAATAAACTGATAGAAACCAGTTCGACCTTTCTCCATACCACCCTGCCCTTCAGGACATTATAGTTTCTTAAAAATAATTGTGATTTGCTGGCCATGTCTTCCTAATACTTTTCTGCTATGGGTACCTCTGTACTGAAATGTAACCTGAGGCCACTGTCCTGGATGTTAGTTCTTTCAAGTGAGTCCCCTGGATCATGAGCACAGTGATGTTATCCAGAGTAACATCACATATGTGACTAATCTACTGACTGCTTCCTGACACCCAATTATGGGACAGGAGTACATGCCTCTTAGCCCATGCCATGCCATCCCCAACACAGGGTCCAGCTTTAGGAACATGATTACAGGGATGCAGTGAATCTGTCTCTGATCTTGACCAGCACTAACGTCTTTCAGTCACACTTATCAGTGTCATTAAGGGATGCCCCTCTGGTGAGGGACGTAGGGCTGCATTGTGTACAAGGGTATTCTGGATTCAGGGGGAACAGTTTGCCTCAGGAGACCCATCTCTCATGGTCCCAACAAATACGGGTATGCTAGACACAGACTGGACCTGCTTGCTGAGGCCAACTTGCAGCACCATGCACTACCGGTGCCACAGAGAGCTCCATGAAGCCTCGGGCTTTCTGTGTGCCAAGGAAGCAGTGACACTCGAGGATGGAGAAGAATGTACACTGAAAGGTTTCATCAGTACAAGCCACCTAGAGGAAGAGCCTGTAAGACTTTAAGACAATCCTGAAGCCATTTTTGACAATTCTGAATCCTCTCAGCCTCTGTGCCATAGTGCTTCCTCTCCTCCCCTGGAACCAAGGACCTAACAGCTATACTCGCATGTACTCAGTTCCTGAACAATTACCCATATACGTAGGCTTTGGTTCGGTCCCCTGGGAAACGGGGTCAAAATGACC